AACTTTGTAATTCTTTTTGACCAATTGCCATATGCTGAGCAAATTGCTCTTCATGCCTGATATGTACAACACATTGGAAATTACTGGGCTCTTGCCATATTTCCTCATAATCATAACATCACCAATACCTTCAGCTGCTAGGATATTGTCATTTACAAATTTCACCATGTTCTTCATCGAGAGTTTTATGTTGACAAACCAATCATTCCTTCTAAATATGTGTGATGAGTATCTTGAATCCAAGTACCATTGGTCCTTGAGTCTATCTTCATTTCTTTTTGTGACCATCAACATCATCTCTTCTTTGTCGTGTTTTGCAAACTTTGCATCACTTTCTTGATTCTTTCACTTTTTTGGACAATCACTAGAATAGTGATCATACTTTTGACAATTGTAACACTGAATGTGACTCTTGTTAGATTTTCGACCACCACCTCTTCCTCTATTTACAACACCACCTCTTTGGTTGCCTCGGTATGGTCTTCTCTGATTCGACACGTTTTCTCCGTGCTGATTTCCTATACCAGTCGAATTGTTGTGACCACCTCTACCTTTGTTGTCGAACCACTTTCCTTTGTCTTTCTTATCTTTTGCTGATTGAGTATGTAAAGTCACACACTCTTCGATTTTCCTGCAGCTCTTTTAGCCATTCTTTATTCGTGAGATTCAAGCGTCCCTTGAATCTCTTCCTTCGACAAAGATGACATATCTTTCTATTCTATGGAAACTACTACACGGTCGAACTTCGGAGCCAAAGATCTTAAGATCTTCGAAACAACAGCTCTTGTTGTTAATATCTCTCCACAAGTCTTGATTTGATTCACTAGTTTCGTAACCCTAGTGAAGAAATCATATATGCTCTCACTATCTTCCATCTGAAGCAGTTCATACGTTCTTTTGTGAGTTTGTAACCTCACCTCTTTCACCTTCTCAGCACCTCCAAACGATTTCTTCTGGATTTCTCAAGCTTCTTTTGCAGATTCTACATCACTAACCTTTTTGAAATTGTCTGGAGTAACACATTGGTGAATTATAAAGAGAGTTTTATAATTCTTCTTCTTCAATTTTCTGTATTCTGCTTCTTCTTCTGAAACGTCTTCATCAAGTAGTTCTAATCCATGTTTCATAAGATCCCAAAGACCTTGAAAACAGAATATAATCTTCATCTGTTTGCACCAATTCTCATAGTTATCACCTTTAAGAATTGAGAGACTTGCTGGAAAATTTTTGTTAGCGTAATTCATCGTCGTGATCTTTTTCTTCTTCTTCCTCGATCATTCTTGATCGTTCTTTCCTTGAATCGCTCAATCGGATCTCTTGATACCAGATGTTGGAAATCCACCAAAATTTATGATGAATTTCTATCAATCTTGATGAACAAGATTGTTATCACCACACGATAACAATGAATTATATGAATGAAAGAAAGAATGAGAAGAATATTATTTTTCTGCAGAGTTTCTCTCTACCTACAAACTGTAAAAACTTTATTATTCACTTGCAACTACAAATTTTGTGAATACAATGAGTTGACTTGATTATAAAAATAAAAGTTACTCCCTCTATTTATAGATTTAGATTAACTTGCTCCCTAAGACAAAGTCCAAAACTATAAAAACCCAAAATACTTATCTCTTATATTAAGTTGAAATTATTAATATTACAATCCAACTCCACATAAAATTTTGAACATTAAGAGCCAAAATTTCTCCTACTTACATTTACCAAACACATCAAATAAACTTCCAAACAGAAACAGAGTTAATTGGTGTCCCTTTCCACCCAATAACAAGACATTGTCCATTCATATCAAATGTGCAAGAATTTCCACAAGCAAATCTTTTAGCAACCAATTCAGCTTGATACAAACTCATCATACTCAATTCTGTTTCCACCATCCCAAATCTTGTAAAAAATGCTCTCCACACATCAATCTTCACATTTCTACTCTTTCTTTCTGCTCCTTCTTCCGCCACAGTATTCCTTATACCGTGACTAAAATACATCGATTCTAGAATCATTCTGTTTTTCTGGTCACCTTTCATACAATCCTCTAAACAATCGAAAAATGCACTAAAATAAAAAAGCGCTTCGATGAAACGGTTCACAAAAGACTTAGAATTATGATTAGCTTCAATCTCAGTGACAACCATTACTATAGGGTTTATAGTTCTAATAACTCTCATGATTGTTTCGAGTTGGTCTGATTGATGAATCTTACTTCGCAGCGCAAATTGAGAATAAACTGCAATTGTTTCGTCAGAGTCTATCTTAAAATGATCTTCTCTTAGATGTAATAAATCAGATACAACAACTATTTCAAAGGAGAAAGGTACATTCGAACTTTGCGCAAAATCTTTCAATCTTTTACCAGTTTCCTCGACTATCTGCTTCGACGTGTCTATGTTTCCGCTTGCAATAGCTGTTATCTTTAAAAGCTCGAGCGGACATTCATTTCTCGATTGAAGTGCTTGTATTAGGATTGTCCATTGTAACCCTTTCCGAATTTCGAGATCAATAACATGAATCTTCTTTGCATCTTTAAGATTCTCTATTAAAGCTTGTACACATGTGAACATTGAAATTTTACAAAACGGAAGATCTTCGATAAAGGCGAGAAGAGTCGGATTTAGATCCTTGGCGTCCTCTTCAGGATCAAATAAAGACTCTGCCTTTTGCACATTGTCAACACAAACTCTACCTGTTTCTCTGTCGATTCTTTGGCGAAGAGCTTTGGCAAAATAATGAACTAGACGCTTAACGGGATTACCTGTCTTCGAAGATAAAGACTCGATTTGTGGTAAAAAAAATCTAGCGCGTTCAAATTGTTGATATCCAACTTTTTCAGCACAAGCCAAGAGTGATTCAGCAAGTGAAACATCTTCTTTCTCTTCATCTGATAAACCAGAGAAACTAAAACCAAAAGGGTGATTAAGAATCAAACCTGATGATGCAGATTCCGACAAAGATGATTGTATGAATCTCGTTCCAGCTACCTTCATGATATCTGCAGTTGACAACTTTCTCTCATTTTCGTTGTTTGTGACTAAATCAAAATCATTAACCGGATGAAGGATTTTTCCTTCATCCGGTAACAATAACTTCTTGAATCCTTTGCCGTAATGCTTCAATATCTCAACCGGCGGTAAAGGAGTTTGGTAGTATTGTTCCTCATTTTTGGTGGCACAAATTGGAAGAACATTTGTTGGACATAGTTGTTCATCAAAGTTAACCATGTCGAATTGTAGGTTATCGGAAGTTTCATAATCGTGAAACTTTTGTTGATTGGTCGAAAGAAGAAACCCGTCTTCATGTGATGGATCATCTTGAAAGAAACCAAAATTAGAGCATAGAGACTCTGTTCCATTAAACTCTCCTAGATCTTCTGCTACAGAAAATTGAACATTTTTTACTTCATGAAGTTTCTTGGTTTCCCAGAAAATATCATTGCATGAACTAAGTTTATCTTCAACTGCACTGAAACTGAAGTCACCAAAATTGTACAAGTTTTCCATTACAAATTGAAACAAATTTTTCTTTAGTAATATGAGTTTCAAACTAGTTATATTCTTCAAGCACTTTATTCTCTATCTTTATATAAGAAGATTAATATGATTCTTATTATTATTAGTCTTTATCATAAGTTAATTATTAAGGTATAGTTTGTGATTATTTTAATGTGAAACTGACTGGTTCTAACACTAAATCCGTGTAGTAGAATTAACAAATTAACATTGATGTTGTCACCATAATGATAATTATTGTCAAGAAGGCATAGGCCAGCAAAGATGGCGTAAGTGATGACCTGAAAATCAAGATGTTTTGTTTGATATGTCCGGAAAATAAGTATTTTTTAAATTGTTTTTGAAAACTTATGAAAGACTGTCTAAAACCTATTTTTAATAGATTCTCTTATATAGTTAATTAAAATAACTTAAGAGTTTTCATTAAAAAAAAAAGCGACTTTATCTTATCTTTCTAATCATCCAACACTTCAGTCGAACTACTCCTATAATCCTAATTAGGAGTTTCTTTTTTGGCCTAACTTTGTCTTTTTAAAAACCTATTTAAAAACGTATTTCTTATTAAAGTCTTCAATTAATCTATAACTTTGTCTTTTTAAAAACCTATTTAAAAACATATTTCTTATTAAAGTCTTCAATTAATCTATATTACTTAAGAAACTTTATAAGCTGACCTATATATAGATCAACATATTTAGTCTTTATTCTAATATATGCATATATGTAAGTCTATTTAGCCTTTTTTTTCTAATATATATACATATATAAGTCAAGCTATTTAACGTATTTTTAATATATATATATATATATATATATATATATATATATATATATATATATATATATATATATATAAGACTTCATAAACTTTTTAAATAGTCAAAGTTTTTATTAAGTAGGCTTTTATAAAAACTTAAGTCTGGTCTTTTTATTAAATAGGCCTGACCTAACCTTAAGTAGGTTAGGCTGTAGGCCTCTGTAAACCGGTATGAACTATTCCCACCCCTATCCATAATACTAAATAGAATCGTCCCGTTAAACCAACTCAGTTGATAGCTGTGTATGAACATCAGTTGCAAGAGTGTTGGTTTGAACCTGCAACATCCCACTTGTTCACCTTTTAAGGTGAATTTCAGCCGCTAAGCTACTTGAAAAAAAATAGAATCAGCAAAACAATCTAATGAAATTTTGACATTTGAGAAAACATAATTTTGCGTAGATTCCTCATAGAATCATGTAACATTTCCCCTTTTGATTCATGGATTTGTTACAAGAACATCTAATTATAATCTTATACATGCTAGCTGAATGAAATAAATAGGTTCAATCTGCAATAAATGTACTCAAAATGCATAACCCGGTCATTCAACATAGAATCAACAGGTTCATTCTTAAAATGACTCTAGAAACATATTGTAATAAGAAGTGCAACATTACAACATTTATTCCATTTCAGAAAGTGAATAAGCAGTAATATCAAGCTTTCAAAGATTGCCCTGCTTTTACCAGATCTTCAAGTGCCTTCAAAATCTGTGGCTCTGTCATGCCTTCCAATTTAATGCCTCTCTCAACACCCAGATCTGGTATAAATGATTAAATTATAGGAAATGAGGAAATATCGCAATTATATAACCAGTACAAAATAATGCAGGAATGAAAAGAATAAGTTACAATATATAATCAGAAATGTGCACCACTCTAAGTATACTGAAATTGACAATATATGTGACTTAATTTTCTAATTGCATTCAAGGACATCCACAATGAGCAAATTAATCTTAAATTACAAATGATAACAAAATTTACATTATGCGCAACTTCAAGTTGGGTCCTGTTAATTTTCTAATTGCATTAAAAACCATCCACAATAACCGATAACCAGTACCAAAATTGAGCATATGTCTTAAATAACAAATCATAACAAAATTAACATTATGCACAACTTCAAGTCAGGTCAAGTTAACCAGCCCATTACGGGGGAAGAGTTCTTCCAACTCCGATTTTTCCATTCATTGGTACTTGAAGGAAATCAAACTCCTTGCCACTTAAACAAACAGCTGTTGGTGGACAACAACAACAACCACCAACCTCTAAGTGCGATTGGCTATATGGATCAACTTTCACCATAATGTTCTAACCAGAACCATGTTTCTCTCCAAATCACTAATCTCTAGATGGTGGTGGACAAAAGTCAAATTTTGGATAACATGAAAAATTAGTTTTGTATAGATTACTCATACTATAATCTCATTTCCCTTGAAGGAGTACCGTAATGATAAAGGTCGGAACACCAAAGAAGTTTTATGAGGTCTAGAATTCGATCCTTGCTACTAACATATACCCCTCCCCCTAACAAATTAAATACTAACAGTTTTCTTATTAAAACAAGAGCTTCCATATTCTCATAAATAACTTAACGGGCTTTGAAATTAAAATGATTTTAAAGGAACAATGTTGATTAGCATATTTTGAGTGTTGATGCATTACAGTTAATTTCATAAAATTACCAGTTAAGCAACTAAGGATGTAAAAGCTAGGCAAAGAAGGTATAGGATGTGAATGCAAATCATGGGGTGGGAAATTCAAATAAATAAAGAATGATATTTAAGATGCATGATACCATATCTTGCCCATAATTGGGGTTCGACACCACTGCATTCACGGATCAATATGGGCAATTTTGGGTTCAATGTCTTTAGTTCCTTATAATTCTTTTCAACAAATGCCCTGAGATAACAAAAAATTAATAAGAACTCATTAAAGAATAAAAATATGTATGAGAATCAATTAAATTAAGAGGCAACAAAAAGATATTTAAAAAATAATGCTGCAGAATTTTAGGTCCAGAGAAAAGAAACAATATATATAACCTTGCAGATGCGCTTGCAGGTGATGACTGGCACATCAAAAGTCGAAGCTCTTTTATGTTCTTTGAAAGATTTCCTCTCCATGCCATTTCTTTCCTAGCTCAAAGTTATAAAATTTGTGAGACTTTACCTCATCTTAAGGCAAGGAGAAAATGAGATAAAGACCTAACATTAACAATGCAAGCTAAACTACCATTCACATCTAGGGATAGTTTGAAAGTAAAAACCAGTCTAACTACCTATGGAGCACAGACTCCAACACCGGGACACGATACGGACACTCCAACACAGATAATCTCAAAAACATAGAACACTAAGTATACTACATATATGATATTATTTGACCTTCATTTGTTCATCTATTATGAAAAGAGTTGCAAATATTCTAATCAAAATCAATGTCTTCAATTCTTCATTAATAACATTGCTTCAAAACATAATTAACCCTTTTATATTTTTTGAAACACTTGTCTGAATTGTCCACAAGTGTTGTATGAGTGTCATGTGAGTGTCAGACACTGAATCAAAGAGTGTCGAAACAAAAAAAAAAACAATTTATTGGGCGACACTTGTCTGATTTTTCCAACACTTGTTTGACTTTATCGAAACGTGTCATACAAGTGTTGGACACTACGCCGCACCTGCTCCTAGAGGTGTTCGTGCTTCTTAGCTAGCTAACTACCACTAGATCAGTGTCATCAAATATCAATAGCGGAAAATATCAGATCCATGGCTGCGGAAAATAGCAGAAGCCGCACAGCGGTTAAAATAAATATTTAGGTAGAAAATAAAATATGACTCACACAAATTAAAGCTGCATAAACAGATATTAAAAAAAGTCCGGACATTAAACTGAAAATTTCAAGTTCCAACAACTAAAACAGAGAGCTAAAAACAGAAAGAGCCCTAATACAAACTCAAAGGATTTTGCTTTGTGAAAAAGATACACTCAATATGTCAAAATGAACCCTAAAATTGCAAAATGTTAATCAAACTTGTTCTTATGTCAGAAATCTATTATCAAATGCATCCTTACACTATTCACTTAGCTTCAAATTCATCTCCGATAATACAAAATTAATGTCATTCAACAAAGGGACAAATTTGATTAAAATTTTACAATTTCAGGAATCATTATAACAATGTGAGGGTTAAATTGTTAAAACCCTAAAATTTCAAAGAGCAATTCGGGTATTTTCCTATATAAGAAAAACAATCCAATTATAAGAGAAATCATGAGAATATTTGCAAATAGAGATGATAAAAAAAAAAGTTGAGAAGAGAGGTAACGAAAATACCAGCAAGATGCGATTCTGTTAGGACGATGAAGACGGAAGTGGGAACTCGGAAGATCTTCCGGCGGAACAGGCAGCTGCGGAAGGGACAAATGAGATATGGAAAACGCTAGCTTTCTCTTTCACTATTCACTAGTTTTGTTTGTTTTTTCGAGAATCGATTTTATTTTTAAGAAAAAGGAAAATATTTTGTAAAAACATAAAATAAAAATATTTGCTTATCATCAAAATTGATTTTTTTTTTTGGGAGTTATTAAAAAACAACTTCTCATTTTAAATTATTTTACAGATTTATTTTTGTTGAAGATCTAAATAAAATATTTTAAAATTAAATCTATCGTATAAGAAAATTTTGTGTTTTGGAAATTTCAAATTTGTCCTACTACTTCAACACAGCCAGCCACGTGGATACTTTTACAAGCTTCCATTCATTTTGCTTCTTCTTCCAAGCTTCCATTCATTTTTATTCTATTTCTTTTCCTTCATCATCTTTTTTCAATTCGATTCTTTCTTTTTCTCTTTCTCTTCTGCCTTCATCTTTTTTAAATTCGAAAATCAATTTCTAATTCTCTTTCTCTTCATCTTCATCAATAATATCTTCATCTTCACGATGGTTTAAATAAAGGTAGTTGGAGTTTGGATTTGGAACTATGATGAATATAGAAGGTTGGTTAGGATTATGAGTGAGATTTATGGGTTTTATTGAAGAAAATATATGGTTGATTACTCAACCATCATGTAAGCTATTCTTTCTTTTGTGTGTTCACGGTGCTTGTGGATCTGCAAAAGAGGAATTTGTACCAGGCATATTTTTATCAATGACTTTCTTTCATTTTTTGTTTTGTTTTTCTTATGTACTCAACATTTATTGTTTTGTGTTGCTGAAGATGGGGAAGTTTTTGTTTCGCTTTGCAGTTTCATAATGATTATGCGACTAACATCTTGCTATTGGGATATTCACATTTTAGAATCATTCAAACATGATAAGTTGGCATTCATTTTTTATTATTCCAGTGCTAGACCTGGTTGTAACACAACATTTCATGGTCAACGGGAAATATTCAATTTTTGGTGGTATATGAGATGCATGAAGTTTAATTCTACTTTGAATGTGAAACAATAACTATAATTTCACAAGAAGAGGGTCTTTATATCTGGTGTCAAAGATGAAAATCCTTTTGATTGTATTGTGAGATAAGTGAAAATTTCCCTAATTACTCCTTATGTAAGTGTTGTTTTGTAGCATTTGGCCTGTGTAGTTTGTGGTTTTTAGTTCAACGATTTTATGTGTTTGAAATTTTAGGTCAGCATTTTCACCAACCCATAATCAAATTTCAGGTCAGCATTTTCTGAATCCATTCATTTATTTTTCATCATATCACATAATCAATTTCAACTATTTCGCGTTCTTTTAATTTTTCTTATTTCAATTTAGTTTTTCTACGACTCTAACTGTTACTCTTTTAGAGTTTTGTTTATGTATATTATTGAATGTTTGTTCGAATGAAGGGAACTGGAGTAACGTCGGCGACTACCAGCACAATGAAAGTTGGAAAACCCTTCCAAATTTTCCATACTGTCATTATTACTTTGCTCAGACGTTCATGCCCAAGCCCTGATCAAGTTCTTGAAGAAGGCCCACGTGCCCCAAGAAACCACCGCTGACCAGTTTGAGAATTGTGTGGCAAGTTTAACGACCGATAATGGATTAGGATTCTCTGACGCTGATATGACTCCTATGGGAAGAAATCACAACAAAGCCTTACATATCTCTGTTGAATGTAAGGGAACCACCCTAGCTCATGTCTTAGTTGATACTGACTCATCGTTAAATGTGCTACCCAAGGGTGCTTTGGATCGGCTGAATTGTGAAGGACTGGTTTTAAAGCCAAGTGATATTGTCGTGAGGGCTTTCGATGGGACTAAGAGATTGGTTCATGGAGAGGTGGATCTCCTAATTAAAGTTGGCTCACAGAATTTCAAATCTACCTTTTACATAATGGACATATGACCCGCCTACTCTTGTCTGCTTGGGCACCCTTGGATCCATGGGGCAGGGGCAGTGAAATCCACCCTTCATAAAAAACTAAAGTATCCAGTCAAAGGGAAGATCGTCACTATTAGCGGTGAAGAAGAATTTATGGTGAGTCATCTTAATTCCTTAAAATATGTGGAAATGGATGGAGAATTCATAGAAACTCCATGCCAGGCCTTTGAAATTGTTCCTCCTATGGTTGTTGCCACCAAAGCCTCCTCCAACGTGTCAAAAGCTGATAAAGTTGTACCAAGAATGATTTCGCTCAAGGATGCTCATACCGTGGTCGAGGAGGGAGATTATATTATCTGGGGCCAGCTTCCCGACATCCCGATTAAAACAGACAAGTTCAGATTGGTTTTCACCATTCAAGCTCAAAAAGAGGTTAGACGCGCTTGTGTGGGAAAGATACCTCTCTGCATCAGAAATCATGAAGTAAATGTTGTAGAAGATTCTGACGATGAATGCCCTTTGAAGAATGGATATACCCTACTGTCAAAGGAAAGCTCACCAACTAGCAGGAAAAAGACTTTACATCCATCTCCTTCATAGAGGAGTAATTACTATTTACCATTTTCTGCCAATTCAAGAATTTCTGTGTGTAATCTTAAATTCCAAAGCAATGACTCTTAAGCCATGTGCCTTGCCCGGGGCACTTTGGTCTATTTTATTAAAGGGTTTTATTCATGTTCATCTATCATATGATCATTTAATATAAACCATTGGACCTTTTGGCATTCAAATTTTCGCGTTCATTGTCTTTATTTCCCTTTATTGCATTTTTTCTCAAATAGCCATGTATCTCACATGCACACACACACACACACACACACACACTTGAAGATCTTCATCCACTCCAGATCTCACTACCCATGACTCTACTATTGCCAGTTATGATTTTGAACATCCAGTTAACCAAGCCGAAGACGAAGGCGAGGAAGATTATGAAGTACCAGGAGAATTAGCCAGAGTTCTAATGCAAGAAAAGAAAGATATTCAACCTCACAAAGAGTTGGTCGAAGTTATAAACTTAGGTACGGGGACAGATGAAAGAGAGGTCAATATCGGTGCCAACCTAAAAAATGATATCAATAGTAGATTGGTTCAGATGTTACATGATTATGTTGAAGTGTTTACTTGGTCGTATGAAGACATGCCCGGGTTAGATACCAACATTGTGATGCATCGTCTGCCAACGAAGGAAGCTTTCCCTCCTGTTAAGCAAAAGGTTCGTCGCATGCGGCCTGACATATCTGAAAAGATAAAAGCTGAGGTAATGAAGCGGTTTGATGCAGGTTTTCTGATCGTCACATCTTATCCTCAATGGGTGGCAAATGTGGTCCCTGTGCCAAAGAAAGATGGAAAGGTTTGCATGTGTGTGGATTATAGAGATCTGAATAGGGCAAGCCCCAGTGATGATTCCCCTTCTACTACATATTGACGTCTTGGTCGATAATACCGCTCAACACAAAATCTTCTCCTTCATGGATAGATTTTCTGGCTACAACCAAATCAAGATGGATCCTGAAGACATGGAAAATACCACTTTTGTTACCCAATGGGGCACCTTTTGTTATAAAGTTATGCCATTTGGATTAAAGAATGCAGGGGCAACATATCAAAGGGCTATGGTAGCCTTATTTCATGATATGATTCATCATGAAACAGAAGTCTATGTGGATGATATGATTGCAAAGTTGCAAATAGAAGAAGAGCATATCAATCACCTACACAAGCTATTTGAGAGGCTAAAGAAGTACAAATTGAGGTTGAACCCTAATAAATGCCTATTCGGAGTAAGGTCTGGAAAGCTTCTAGGTTTCGTTGTCAGTGGCAAAGGTATCGAAGTTGATCCTGCAAAAGTAACGGCCATTCAAGAAATGCCAGTCCCCCGTTCTGAAAAAGAGGTCAGAGGATTCTTGGGTCATCTTAATTATATTGCTCGCTTCATATCTCACTTAATTGCTACATGTGAGCCAATCTTCAAGCTCTTGAAGAAAGATCAAGTAGTCAAATGGAACGACGACTGTCAAGCCGCCTTCAACAAAATCAAGGAATATTTGCAAGAGCCTCCTATCCTTATGCCTCCAGTTGAGGGAAGATCTTTGATCATGTACTTGACTGTGATAGAGAATTCTATGAGGTGTGTGTTGGGCCAACATGACGAGTCCGACCGAAAAGAGTGTGCAATTTACTACCTGAGAAAAAAGTTTACCGACTGTGAAACCAGATATTCACTACTCGAGAAAACTTGTTGCACTCTGGCATGGGCTTCTCGCCGGCTAAGACAGTATATGCTGACTCACACCACTCTATTGATCTCTAAAATGGACCCTATCAAATACATCTTCGAAAAACTCGCTCTCTCCGGACGGATAACTAGATGGCAAATTGAAATTCTGAGTGCAGATACTCAATGTCACGTTCAATGTTATGACACCGTATCTGACTTACTATAAGACAGTAAATACAAAAAACAGTAAAGAACACAGTCAATTGTTTACCCAGTTCAGTGTGCAACAACACCTACTCTGGGGGCTACCAAGCCAGGGAGGAAATCCACTATAAGAGATATTAATTCAGGAATAAACCAACCAGTTTATCTCCTTCACTTAAGACCTACCCAATGCAACTTCAATCTAAGAACAACTTAAACCTGAGTTCCTACTCACTCCCCCTCAATCACAGCAGTGATACTTAAAACAATTTGACTAATGAATTGATGAAGACACTCTTCAAAACATACACTTGATTATGCTTCACAGCTTTTTAATCAAGCAACACAAACACTCTTGCTTCACAACTTTGAGTGATACATAAACCTAACTTGACTTTGCTTCAAAGCTTTAGTCAAGAGACACAAAAACACTCTTGCTTCAAAGCTTTGAGTGATACACAACCCTTACAATTTAAGCCTATTCCAAGTCACTTATCACAATGATACTTGCTTGGATTACAATAGTTAAAACTATACAGCTTCTAAATGATCTTCTATCAAAAGGGGTTGATTCCAAAACAGCAGGTCTGTTGAATATATAGCAGCTGCATCTTCAGTTAGGGTTTCCACAAAAAGCTAGGGTTAATTCCGTTTAACCTTAAGACTAGGTCACAGGACTTTATCAACCAAGTTAGGGTTGAGCTAGGTTAACCCCAAGTCCACGAGATTTTCTATTCTGGAAAGACCGAGTCATAATCCTGAAAAAACTCAGAATTACCCAAACTGCATAACTGTTAGTTCAGAACAGGATGTCTTAACATTTGTTATGACATCTGAAAACCTGTCTACTGATTTAGGTAAATGTGATCTTTTTGCAAAATGCTCAGATACACACTTATAAACAGCAGCACCTGTATGACAATATTTTTCTGCAAAGGTACTTAATAACTCAGTACCCAATAAACTAGAACATTATGACATCAAT